ATATATATATGCTGTAATTGCTTATATATATATAGTCTATAGTGTAAGATATAAGAAGCAATATTGCCATGCCATGGAACAGTGTACTTAATGCCACGTTACGCCACAGTGGTAAACATTTTTTTCTTTCCTTAACATATCAGAAACGAAGTCAACAAGTAGTTTTTTTATTCCACACCGCCGAACTCGCGGGTAACAGCTAGTATTAATAGGTATAATAATTAAATGCAAACAGACAGCCTGCTGAAATCAATCAAGTTTGCGAGAGGTGATAACATAGTTAGATCGACAATTTCACGTCCCAACGTGTGTCGCTTCGGACTGTGAGCCTCAAAGGTATCATTTACACTAATACATATGAATCCATCTATTCCGTCTATTACGGTTTACCACATAGATTACATGACACCGACTGATTGTAAACCTAGTCGATTAATATTCGGACTAGGAGTACAGATTCCAACAAACAGTTTCATTTTCAAATGTTTTGTACAGATCGCAATTTGATGCAATAAATAAAATGTCTTGTATCAATAAAAGATCCCCCTGCTAGAGATCTATAAACTGTAATAAGTAACGATTATAATACTTTTGTGATTTTATTACTAACTGAAAAAGTTATAAAAACCCTAATATTTTAAAGTTGACGATCTCAGATGGGGATATTCGCGGTGTTCCATCTTAAAAGCTACAATCGTTTGAATATTTTGCACCGAGACGCGGAACAGAGTATTCCCAACCGTCACCCGTTTTGTCCCCACGTGACAGTAAACAGTTTCATTCGTCCCACAATTTAGTCTATCACCAATAAGGTGAGAGATGGAACCGTTATGAAATAAAACAAGTTCCAACCGTCCCCTCATCGCAAAAGGTAGGACGAATTATCCTTATTATTCTCATCTGTCCTCACATGGGACTGAGTGGGGTGACGCTTGGGTAGAGTCGCGCGGAACAAAGGCCATTACAACGCCGCTTATAAATGCATCTGTAGGAAAAAATGTCGGTTAGTGATACACGGCTAGTTTCTTTTTATTATTATCCTTTCGTTTTCACTCACTGCTATTTATATATTTGTAGGATGACTAGGATTCTTTCCTAAAGCGGAACACCGCAAATGTCCGCGACTGTACCTATAAAAATCTACCCAAAATATTCGCTAGTAATAGTTAGTTATCCATTTTTTTACCTGTACGTATGCAAACAAGCTGCGCTTTTTTAGCCTGAGGGGACGAACGTTTAACCATCGGATACAGTTAGGCAAAATGTTGTTTGTTCAATAAAATCCCCTTGCTACTCCAAATAAAAAATGAAGGTAGCAAGTACTCAAAGTCGTTACGATATTTGTTGAGTGCGATTAAATTCCTTAATTTCATATAATTGCCTTTAATCCTTCTCTTGAATATTGTAACTTTATTTTTTTGTACTTTCGTATTAATTTCCTATTATTTTGCGTTTATAGGTCTAATACCGTTATTTGATTATTTTATATTAATTGAATATAAAATATTCTGGTAAACAATGTTGGTTCCGACATTATAAAATATAGTTTTTTAAGCGTAGAAGAATTTATTTAATCGGAAAAATCCATTTTAATAAAACTGTGTCTTTTAATCTTGGCCTTGCGTTGATAATCTAATGAATTTCCAATTAATTACGATAAAAACTTTTTACCTTCTTAATGTAAAAAATAGAAAAAGCGCAACTCAATTAAAGTTATGGCTTCACTACGTTTTCTATTGACTAAGTTTCTACCTTTGAACTTTCTACGGATGCAGACATTTCGTAGAGTTATTTTCTAAATCTTAGTAAGACGTAAAAGCTCTCAAATTTCTCTTTGATATTTAAGTCTGTTACTGAGGTTCTATTCTAACTGACAATTAAAACGAGGACTAAAACTGTTCAGTTAGAACTGTGGGTGTGTTACAGATTTATGGTGAAACATATAACTACGTTGTCGTCCATAATGTCAATCAGCTGCGGTTAGAATTAGAGCGTGCGCACACCTTTGACTCGCACAATTAATTAGGCGCGCTTTGATTCCTATGAGCATTTATGAAGGGGCACAGACTAACCGATTTTAGTTGTGAATCTAAACAGTTGAATTAGCTGCGAAACAATCGACAATTGCACAACAGTTATGCGATAGTTAAGTCAAAGGTGTACGCCCGCTCATAAAAGTCGTGTTCAACTAAACAGAATCTAGCTAATTTAGAATGTGTTACAATGTGTTTCAATTTTTGATTCACAGATAGCATAGTTCTAATTTGAGCGTGAATGAAATGACAACAATCGTCAGCAACATTGTCGTGAAAATTACCCGGTTCGATTTCGCCATTGAAATAACGAGGCATAGGGTGAAAATACAATTTAATTGGCTACTGATATTCCTACCCGTATTATGAGGTATTGATATCTAATAGGTAGTAGGGACACAAATAAAAAGTGAGTGACTATGGTTTGTCAACCCTAACTTGAGTAAGCACCGAACCCCTCAGTGGAGACATACATACATACATATATACATATTTATGGGGTAATGACAATCTCTAATATTATAAATGCGAAATTTATATGGATGGATAAATTTTGTTAGAGTTTGCCGCCTAAACGGCTGAACGGATCTCGATGTAATTTTGCATAGATGTGGGAAAGTTTGGAACATGGACTACGTACTTCTGTTATTAATTTCCAGGCGGATGCATTCACGGGCGAAAGCGACGTAGCATTGTAATAAAATACATTTAGGTGTCCAAATTCTGTTTAAATGAAAGCTTAAAATGAAGGTATAAAATTAACTTATAAATTGAATTGATTTGTGCGAGCATTTATTGAATGTCAGTAAATGATACACTTGGTTGCGTCACTGCAAAGCTTTCGATTAGTCTAATGGATTCCGTTCCTACATACTGTAAACAGAAATGTACAATGTTTAACGTCGATACGCACTAAATGCCCGCTGGCTAAATCGAAACAGTCGAAAAGCCTAATTTGCACTTTAATTACCAACCTGTACACGCTAGTATTAAATAATTTAAAATTTAAAATGAAATGTTTTAAGTTAAAGTTTGTAAGTTTTGTAGTGTTACCTACTCTAGGACTGTGTGAAAGAGGATATGCTTAAGAAAGGAGTGGATT